GAAAACAATTTAGTCCCAAGTAATATTCACTTCAGGATGGCCTAGGCTCTGCCAGAATCTGTTTTGACTGCACTGTGCTCATTGATTTTTTTTCTTCCCAGCTCTTCAGCAAATGTGGCCCTGCTGGTCCCCACTGGAGAGCCGGGATGGTGGCTGTGCCCTGCACTGTGGTCACTGGCACTGGACCCCAAAAAACCAGCCTCAGCCAGCCCACAACATCTGCCAGGATCATCATCTGGGCAGTGGTTAGGCTGAGCACCGTGGGCCAGCAGAAGTGGCTGGGTGGCACCAGGGGTCCGGGTGCTGCCTGAGGGAGGGCAGGAGAATGAGCTGGTGTTGCACAGAGAGCCAGAAAGGTTTCTGCTGCTCAGGGCCTGCTGCCTTTGACACAGGGTCCCCTGAGAGTCCTGTGTGTGCAGCATCTCCCAGCACACTGCCTGCTGTTTGCCCAGCACTTGCCCACTCTCCTGGACTTGCTGTTCCTAAGACATCTGACAATTCCTGACCCAGCAACCGCTGCCTCGCTGCCCAAAAGCCTCAGGAACACTATAGATCCCCAATGATTGACTAATAATTGGAATTTCATGGCACACCCACAGGGTTTGTGCAGGGCTTACTGTGCTGCAATGTATTTTATTTGGGGTCTGGCTGCTGGCAGGTTCTCCCTGCAGTTTTCTGGGGCTGTTTTACACCGTGCCGTGCTGGAGCGGGGCGCACTGAGCATGCTGGGGAGATTCCATCTGCTCTGGAAGTAGAGAGCAACTCGGGAGCAGAAGCTCAGGAGATCCTTGCAGGAGCAAGCAGTTAATTACAGCAATGGCCAGACATCTCACACACTTTCCCTTGCTGATCTGGCAGTGCTGTGTGGAGCAGGGACAGGCAGCTCCTGCTGCGAGAGAACATATGAAGAGTCCAGTATGATCAAATTTTGGGCCCGGTTAGGAAGCGTAGCACAGTTGGTGCTGTGTATTTCAATTTTTTTGAAGATGTTTGACATTTTGCCCAGAGAACCTGTAGCTAATAGCACATATTATGTGGATTAAAAATTGGCTTAATGACAGATTTCAAAGTCTGGTCAGTAATGGCAGTGTCGCTCCCTGTGGTGTTCCCAAGGAACATTCTGACATGATTTAATGTATGATTTAACAACAATAATGGTAAAAACCTTTGCTGGTAGGGCCTGCAGATGACACGGAGGTGGGTGTGTCAACAGTGAAGGCAGAGCTGACTCTCCTGGTTCAATGGCCACAAGCCAATGTGATGCATCACCACAGAGCTAAAAGCAAGGTAACCCCCCAGAAATGAGGTGGGATCCCCAGTCCTTGTGGATGGGATGCTCCCACAAAGCTCTGAGCCACCCGCAGGTGTGGGGGGATGTCAGCTGACACCAGGGCTTGGGGGTTTGGTGTAAACCTTCCCTTGCCTTGCTGTTGTTGCTCCTTGTCTTGGGCTGTGCTATGGACCTGTGCAGCTTTTACATGAAGTTTTCAACATGTGGCTGAATTTTGAATTTTATTCTTCAACAAACCCGTGTGACTCCTTTGCCTGTCCAGAATGGTGTAACTCCTAGCCTTTCCCAAGCATGGACCGTGTTTGTGGATGAAACACTCACCGTTTATGTTTCTCTGTGTGTTCCCCCTGTGCCCCTCGGATGGAAAAGAGGGTCTGCAGCCAGATTCCAGCCTCCATCTGAGCTGTGCCTGGTTACTTGCAGCAGAGCAGAGCAAGGCTGGCTTCAGCTGGAGGGACAGAGAGGAAAATCCAAGCATGACAATATTCCCTCTGAGGGCAATTACTCTCAACAGGCAACAGCCACAGCATGAAATTCTGGCACCTCGAACCCTGCTCTTCCTCCCTGGGTTGCTTGGAGGGTTTGTCTGATGCAGAAAGTGAACTCCCTTGCTGGAAGCCCATGTAGCCTCAGCGATAGCTACAGGGATCTCATCAAGAAGGAATTTCTTGGCAGGGGATAGGACCTGTCTGCCATATGGTTTCCATGTTTGGAGCAGAAGGTGATCTGTAGAAATGGAAGAAAAAAAAAATTCTGAACTTCTGTGGCTGATTTTCACTAGAGACTAATTGTTGAGTGCAGCCCCATAGAGGGACCAGGGACAGGGCTGACCCTCAGCCCCAGCAACTCCCAAGGCATTTCTCGCAGTAATGCCTCAGGACCTCCTCTACAGAGCATGCTTATCATCAGGAGACTTTAGATTTAACAGCTCCAAAATCTTTTTGAAGGGCTTAGACAATAAAAAATAAGTCAATAAAATGTAAAACTCTCCAGAGCGTAAAATGTACAAATGATGGTCACGTCCTGCCCAGTTCCAGCTTCCTTCTGCCCCCCTGGCCTGCACTGGCTGCAGGAGATGCTGCTCCATCAGCATCTCCTTTCAAGGGGAGAGCTTGGCTGGTGTTGGGGAGATGTCGACTTTGGGGCTGCATCTCTGAAAAACCGGTTTTCCCTTAGTGTGAGGAAAGCTGAGAACAGCCTGTTGTGAGGAAATGCCTTGTAAGTGGACTCATCTGCCACCTCTGATTTTCTGGCGTCCTGTTCTTCAGCCCGAGGAGGTGGAACATGTACTGTGACCTTATTCAAGGGTTTTTGCACTCTCCCACCTTTCTCCTAAATCTGGTGCTAGGCCAGTAGAGCCTGTTCCTGGGGGCATAATATCTGACTGTCTAACTGGATGGATGAACAAATCTGATCTGCTTCCTGTATTGGTTTGTCTCAGAGAAATGCTCATTTACTTAAAATCTGAGCCAGGAGAGTGAAGCTCATGTCCTGAAAGTGCTAGAAGCATGGGAATGGCTCAGCTAGAATGCCAGGAGTGCTCTGCCACAGACTCATGAATTTGTCCCATGTGGAGGGGGCAGTAAGAGCTCCCCAGGGGAGGGCATAGGCGCCGTGGGGCTGTGGGGAGCCATGGCCTGGAGCTGAGGGTGAGAACCTGCTGTGCCACTTGTGTACACATGGGGAGAGACAGGAGACTGAGTCTGAGGGCTTGGGCTCAGCAAGACGCTCCTCTGCCTGGCTGAGAATTCATCCTGCTCTGCGAGGGCCTGGATCGCACAGCGCAGCTTCCAACTGGCAGCAACAAAGCAGGATAAATGGCTGAGCAGATGCAGAAGAAAAGTCTCTCTGTGCCTGACACACAAAGACACTCACTACTCCTGAACAAATATTTTAGGCCATTTCTGTTGCCAAAATCATCACAAGGACACATGTTTGCAGCAGAGCTGTGACCCATGGTGTCCTCAGACCTGCAGCTCAGAGCCTGGCCAGGGCAGCAGCTGAGCTCTGTGCCCAGCAGGGAAGGGACACAAGGCCCTGGGCAGGAGTGGTAGTGCTGGAAATGGGGTGATGTGGATAGGATTTTCTGTGTGAACATGGCCCTGGCAGCTGTTGGTCTCTGTTGTCTGTGCTCATGGGGGTGGTCGTGATGCTGCAGCACAGCGGTGTCACCATTCCCCTGTGCAGGGCCACAGGCTGTCTCTGCTGAGCCAATCTCTGTGGCAGGAGCCAGTGAGTGATTCCTTGTGGGGGCTGGCTGCTCAGAGCCTCGAAAAGTGCTCTTGTACCTTATCCCATGCTGCCTCCCCATCCCCAGTAAGGAGCAGTGGGTGCCTGTGCTGTCTATTGCCAGTGTGCCATAGGCTGTTGCCAGCTGATCTCTCTGTGCCCCTTCTATGAGTCACCACTTGGTTGGGAAGTTCTTGCTTGTTCTCATCAACAGAAGGTTGTGCCCTGGCATGTTGCTGCTGTCTTATGGGGTACCTGCCCAGAATCTGGGGTGAAGCTGGAGCTGGGAGCTGCCTGACTTTCTGTGAGAGGAGGAGACCTCCCCTTTCCTTGCTGTGGGCCAAGGGAGAACCAAAGTGGCACCATGTGGCTGTCCTTAAATGTCTTGCCTCCATGCTGATGGAAATGTTGCTAATCAGCAATGACTAAGGAGAGCCAAGTAAAGAGCAGTTGGTGTATTTGAATTCTTTTGACATCTTTGCAGTGTTTCTGTAAAGGCATGGAGTGTTTTAAAACATGAAATGTAACATCAAAACAGTAAAAGTAGATCAGAATGTTCTGTCTTGCGTTTCAAACAATGCCCTGGAAATTTCCAACTCTTTCCTGTTTGTCCCACTGCTTGCTGGACTCCTCTGGTTGCCATCCTTCTGCTGTTTACGATGGCAAAACGATTTGATTTTTCCTACTCACGGGCATCGATCTGGAGGCATTTAGCATATTTTGCTAAAATAGTCTCTCCAAAAGTTTCCTAGCGCGCTCAGGCGAAGTGGAAACATTCTGGTTCCTTCTATGGGTTGGGCTGCTGTGTCCTGTTGGAGGCAGGAGCCCTCCCACCGTCCCCCAGTGCAGGGCAGGCAGAGCCCGTCCGGGCTCGTCCCAGGAGGAGAACTGGGCTCCAGCCAGAGCTCAGCTCCAGTAGTTCCAGCCGGGGACCCAGAACTTCTCCTGACTCGAGGTCAGACGAAAACAGAGCTCCCTCCTCCTGCTCTAGTTCTGGCAGGCAAATTCCATCACTGCACAAATATTTTGGCAATCAGCAATAATGGAAAAGGAAACGCAGAACCGTCCAGTCCATCAGGAATTCTGCAAACTAGGACATGGCAAGCAGGGCAGTGCTGGGCCCTGGGCAGTGGCTCTCCTGTGGCTGCCAGCCCCAGCCCCAGTCTGGCTGCTGGCCCCGGGCATTTGTGGCCTGAGCGTGTGATTTGTGGCCGCGGGCCGTGCGGATGGAAGCGGTTTGTGCTCTGTGTGATTGCAGCAGTGTGGGGTGGTGTGTGTGTATTTTGGTATCTATAAACAAAGCAGCTCAGGAATGCCTTGATACCAAAGGTTGTTTTTGGCTTTGGATCAAATACTCAGTGTCTAGTTTTTTTGCTTTTTCTTTTCTTATTTTTTTTCTTTCTCTTTTTTTTTTTTTTTTAAAAAAAAAATTTATGTTTTTGTTTTTTTGTAAAAGATGCTTCTCACTCATGTGATTCTCATGTGAGTTAAAAGGGATCATTTCCAGGTCTTTGGAAGCAGTGGATCTCTCAGCTTGTCATCAGGGGCAACAGAACTGCAGGTGAGGACTCCTCTGGCCAGAGCCCCTGAGGACAGGAGAGCTCCCTGGGGCACCCAGCCCAGGCGTGGCAGAAGTGGGGGTCCCCATGGTGACTCTGAAGCCAGGAGGGTTTCAGAACAGAGCCCCGGGGCTGGGGACTGATGGTGCATTCCTGCAGCCCATCCACCACCAGCTGAGCTGCTCTGGGGGCTATTCCCCCATCCCACCAGGTCCTGCTGAAACTGGGACTTGTCCCACTAGGGCCAGGGTGCCACTCCTGCCCCAGGCACTGCTGTGTGCCAGCCCGTGGCATCCCGGGTGGTGCTGGGGCTCTCTTGAAATGGCTGTTGTGACACCAGACAATAATATCCATTTCCCTGGTTTGAGGAGCTGGATTCTTGTGTTTCATGATATTTTGGTATTCATTTCAGTTTTTATCATTTTAAGGTTCATGCGTTTCTAATTGTCATGAATACCATGCTAAAATTAATAGTTCTATGGTTGGTTTATTACATTTAGTAAAATTATGGGCATGTAATGTTTGCCAAGAAAAGACGCAGCAGAGACTTTAATCATGTAAAGATGATAATTTAGTTGTTACACTTGTTGAAATGATGGGATTAATTTTTTAAAAGTTTGCAAACTAGACAAGAAATGTAAAACATTAATTTAGTCAGACAAGCCAGCTAGTGAGTGAGTGGTCCCCTCAGGCTGGGGAGGAATGCTACCATCATGGCAGGGAAAGGGGCACTGGACAGTTTTATAGTTATGGGACTTGTTATTCAGGCCAGACACTCTGACTTTGTTTGATGGACTTGGAAAACTTCAAAACTGCAGCATTCTCCATGTCCTATTCCTGCCTGCACCGTTTCTAGGGATGAGCTTGTAGGTTCTGCGCAGGGAACAAAAAATGATTCACAAATCAGAAACTCTGCATCTGGAGGGAATGCTTTGGTGCCAGCTGATGCTTCAACCCCAGCCCTTTGCCCCAGGCTTGTGCCTGTGGCTCATGGGGAGGTGTGTGTCCTGCACAGGACCTTAAACTTCACCTTGGAGGCCTTTTCCAGTCTTCATGATTCCATGATTCTGGCTCCACACAGGCTTTTCTGTCCTCCCCAGGGTACAGGCACTGCTGTGCACGTGCTGTGGGAATCTGGCCACAACTTCGGCCTCAATTCTGCTGAACGTTTTGTGGCAGATTGTCAGGAAAGGAGAGAAAAATGTAAAATAAGTCTTGTTTACTATAGATGATGATGTGGCAAAGTAACTCAACAGCCAGTTTGCAGAAGTTTATGACAATAATCATGACTATGTTTTATAAGTGTATAGCAATGTGAGTGGACTCAATTCTGGCTGAATTTAAATAATATGGCTTTGTGCAGCAAAGTCTAAATCAAATGGCTGTAATTTATGCTGAAATGTGCTACAGGATGCATTTAGTCACAAGTATGTGCTGATTGTAGCATTGTGCCTGATTTATGGCATTTTACTTTTTCAGATGAAAATCCCTACCAAAAATAATATTTAGAGACTCCCTTTATTTACCGAGCCTAGCAGTTTTCAGTGGCACTGCAGCAGAGGATTACTTATCTTCCTTCCCTGGTTCCCAGCAGCCAGCCTGGAGCCAAGGGCTGGATGTGGCTCTCAGTTTATGGACCAGGAGAAGTGATGAAGGCTCAGAGGAAGCGGCTTGGAGCCCGCATCCCCATCCAGCTTTGATGCAGTAAGCGTCCATCACATTCAGAGCCTGGCTAAGATTAGTAAGAGTGGAGTTAATTAAACCATTCCCCTCCATCTCTGGGGTGTCAGTGAGCCATGGGAGGTGTCAAAAATAGGTCAGGGAGAGGGGATGGATTTTATTCCTCACCCCTGTGCTTTGGTTGGTGATGTGGGTGTGGAAGGCACATATGGGTGCATTCAGACCACGGAGCTGAGGGATCCACGTCTGCGAGCTCTTTGCTGAACGCAGGAGGCTGAGATCCGATTGCCTCTGACATTTGCCGAGTTCCCGGGCAGCGGCCGGCCTGCGAGCCTGCGGGACCCACACGCGGCTCCCGCAGCTTTCAGCTCTCATTAAACCGGGCCCTTCATGGCTCCTGCCTCAGGGCCGGGGCTGGACCCAGGCATGGAGCTCCTGGGGTCGCGCTCCTGCCTCTGCTCCGGGCTGTGGCTGCTCCTGGGGTTGTGCTCCTGTCTCTGCCCTGGGCTGTGGCCAACGTTCCTGGGGTCATGCTCGTGCCTCTGCCCTGGGCTGTGGCCGCTCCTGGGGTTGTGTTTGTGCCTCTGCTCGAGGCCTCACAGCAGTGCCAGCCCCAGGGGCGCCGAGCCCTGTGGGTGCTCCAGCAGCCACATCCTGTGTGGGAGCACCCACACAGGGAGCCTCGGTGTGTGCCCAGCCCCGTGGCAGCTCCCGGCAGTGCTGTGGGATGCAGAGATCACAGAAGGGCACCAGCTGGAGATCCCTGTGTGGGATCTGCGCAGAGCCAGCGCCGGCGCGTCCAGATGTGGGGCCTCCTTCCATTGCTGTCATTAACAGTGACAGGCCCATGGGTGACCCTCTCCCCACATCCAGCACTGGGGGCACAGGCAGCGGGTAAAGCTTGGACGGGTGTCTGTGGAGGGACATTCCCTGAGCATGACCCCGTGGCCTGAGTGGCATCCCTTCAGCAGCTGTACTGCCAGGAGTATTTTAGATTGTCCCCAGTACAATCAAGCTAAGAAGCTCATTTATCATCACCACTGAAGGCAGGAGGCACACTTTGAGCACACGTTGCTTTGTTTTTTTGGAAGTCACTGAAGAGGATTCTGTCATCAGGCGAGTGGGAAGGTTTGGGTGATCCTGGCCTTGCAGAACTACCTCAAGAAAGTGTCAAATGTCTGGCTCTGCAAGAAAAACATGTAATTCAGAGGCAAAAAGAAAGATTGATTTAAAGCATTTGAAATCCCTAAATAAATCATTTCATCTCATAATAGGTCCCAAACCATCCTAGGAGTGAGCACATCCATTTGAAGACTCAGGATCCACAGTATTCCATCCTGTGTTAAAACTAATTGTGCTGAAAATTTATCAGTGATTTATTCTGCAGAGTTTCTCCATTTGTAACTCTCCTTCCTGAACGTTTCAGCACCATTGTGTTTGATGATAAGAACTTGTTGTAGCAACCTCTGTCCCTAAACACTTGGAAACTCTTGTTTAAATAAACATGCAACTTGTGAGTAACATGCAGCTCCAATGTGTATCTTATTAAAAGCTGGCAGGAGTGGAGCCTCCTGGCTTTCTTGCCAGTGCTTGGAATACAGTAGCATTTTTACTCCATAGTAATAAATTTCTGTAGAATGAAGGGCCATAATATTTGCTGTTTTGGGGGAAAACTCTGTTTAGATAGGCGGAGTGATGGAAAATATTACTAATAACTAGGAAACAAAATGAAGCAGGTAAATATTTAGGTTGTTAACGTTGCATCTGCCTTTCCCAGGGCTACAGAAGGAGGGAAGGAGACATTTCCCAGCTCTTCCAAAGAGAGGCCTTGTGGCAAGTCATTAGAACAGAATTGATTTGAAACTTGCTCAAAACCAGACTGAGAATTTCCTCTCGCCCATCCCCATCCACCCCTTTCCCTTTCCAATCTTCCCCTTCAACTTGTGCTGCCTTACTCCCACCCAACTCTCCTTATGGAAAGAACTTTTTCTGCTGTCTTTAAGTTAGTGTTTTCTAATTAGTTCACTATTAATTAAGGGGTTTTGATGTTATGATGTGAAAATTAACTGGCAAACCAGACTGCCATTATCCAGAATTTGTGAAATTAAACTCAGAATTCCAAAATAACTTCTTCATTAATAATTCTGATTTTCCAGACATTACACAGAAACACTGGTGATTAGCAGAAGCGTGATATGTTCTCATTCATAGTATCCCCAATTAGCAGTAATTTAGTTATTAACTCTGGTGCAATGAGCAGGGACAGAGCTGGGGAACATTGACTTCTTTTTGCGCAGGAATGTTTTGCCACTGCTTTTAGGTCTTGTGCTATGGGGAAGCTTTGTCTGCCCAGACCCTGTGCTTGCTGCAGGAAAGGCCCTGTCCTTTGCAGGGTTAGAGGACAAGCTGAGGGGCCAGAAGAGATCCCCCATGGACCCCCACAGCTCTCCAGGGCAGCTGGAAGCACCAGACACGGCTGGTGCTGAGGCATTACCTGCTTCATTCAAAACTCGGCCAGAGTTCAAGTGGGCAGGAAGCTGGCCCTCTGCCTGGGAGAATTTGTCACAAGATTAAGGAATTAATGAGAAAATACAATATATTAAAGAATGAGGGATTTTGCTAACCTCTTACCTTGTCTTTGCCTTAATTGCCTTTAAAAATCATGGGATACAATGAATTACCATTGATTTTTCTCAATACCTTTTTATTTCTGAAGAAACCTGATAAGTGGCAGCGAGAGGTGATGGTTCAAAGGGACCGAGGAGATAGATGAGGTGGGAAGGATCACAGAGATCCCCCTCCAGGGGTCCAGACTCCCTTGGTGACAGCACCAGTGTGTGGCTCTTCTGCCATGCCCAGGTGCTTGGCTGGAGCTGTATGGGGAAGATGGTGCTGGGAGCAGGGATGCTGTTCACCCTCTAGGTGTGTGTCTCCTTTTTTGGCTGCTGCAAGGAGCCAGGCAGCCCTCTCTCCAAGGCAGGGACTGCTGTTTAAAGCACGTTGCCTCAGTTTTATTTTAATCCTAATCTGATATTTTGTCCAACTTCTCTGTGAGCTAGTGTAGGACCGAGATGGAAGCTCTGTTACCTCTCACAACCACGTGTTCCATGTGCCTGCACTGCCACATCCCCACAAACAGCATGGGGACCTTCTGCAGGCACTGTAGCTGTGTGCTGTCTCTCTGTGGGATTTGGGTTTATCGACCCAGGAGCAAACACCACTGCCATGGCAATGCAGCTCTCATCCTGGGCGTTCACAGCATTCATTGCAAAGGAGTTCTGTCAAAACTTCGAGCAGAGACATGGGATTTGTATCAGGAATGGAGACATAAAAGCCCTCAGGTCTGTTCTCCTACTTACCAGAGGCCAGATGAGCGTGAGGATCCCTCTGGCCTGAAATGTATGATCTGTTATTAGAAAACACCTGGCAGTCTGACTGGCATGGCTGGGAAGGGACAAGGGACAGGGGTAGGAAGGTTGTGAACTGAAGCTCTGTTCCCAGGGCTGGCTGTGCACAGGGGTAGCCCCAGGCAAAGAGAAACCTCAGAATTAACGAACCTTGCAGACAACAGCACATGCTCTGTCCAGAGCGTGGCTTTGCAGGCAAGGAATGGCTCACAGCTTTGGTTCCAGGCAGCAGGAATTTGTAGCTGCTTTCCTTTGCATGACATGCCTGGACAGTGTCCAGGTGGGACCTCCCTCCCCATGGGCAGCAGCATCTTTGGGGTTCACCTGCTGTGCAGTACATGTTCCCCTCCAAGGCAGAGCTTCAGCCTCCTGCCAGCCGCTCATGGGGGCTGCTTGGGAAGCCTCAGCCTTAATGGGATCATTTTCTTGCAAGCTGTTTTGGGAGGCTCACCCAGGCAGTCGTATTTCTGTGCAGCATCTGCCAGGGTTCTGCACCTCAGTGAGCTTCAGGCAGGACCACTGAGAATTTAAATAATGCTTTTTTCAGAGATAGATTAAGATAACTTCCTTCCCTCTGTTCTGCGGATATGATGTAATTTGGACACGTCTATGGAAGTTGGAATGAAAGAATTGTCTTGTGTGCATGATGAATATTCTAATTGAGAATAATATTCAATAAAGACCAAGACAGGTGCTTTCTCCTTCCTGGGATTCCTAATTGCTGATGTGTGACTGCAATTTGTATGTCCTCTTAAACTTCTTTCCAGTGGTTTCCCAGATTTATTACTGTTCCATACTACCGAACAAAAAGAATTTAAATTAGCCTTTGCCTTGGTATTTGATATAAGGTGGATTTTGCTGCCCACATGCAAATTCCACACGTATAGAAGGTACCAATCAGGGGCCAACCTAAATTTTGCCCTGACTTTGGTAATGCCTGGGCCCCCTGTACCTGGGTTGTTCAAAGCTGGCCTGATGGAGTGGCTATTCCTGATGCCTTTCTGCTGTTTTCAGATCATTAGATAGTTGCAGGAATCCTTCCATGGTCCCCAGCTTCATTTGGTAGAGTCAAGTCAAAGTGTTTTGGAGTGGAGCTGGGAGATCAGAGGTCTGGCTAATGGTGCTGGAGATGAGACAGACCCCCTTCAATGTCCATGTAACTCAGAAATTAAAACCCAACAAGCTGTCCTGGGGCATTTGTCACAGTATTGGAAATAGCAGGGGAATGGCAGTTGATTTTAGCAGTCTGGGTTTTGTCTGCCTGGACTTTTCCCCTCAGCTTTCCACCCCTTCTTTCCAATCTCTGTTGAGAAATGACTCCATGAAAGGACAGCAGAGAGGGAGATGGAAATAACCCTGTCCTGTTTGTCCTCCTTGTGGCTCATCCCATCAGACAGCCCTGGGGCCCTTCTCCACTCTGCTCCTTTCTTGAGCTGTGTAACACCATGGGCTGGAGCTTTTCCTGGTTTCCTGGCCTCTTTTTCCTCCACCCTCTTGGTTTCCTCTGCCTTTCTGGCTGTTTTCTTCATTTGCAAACCTGGGTTTGCAGTTTTCCCAGCACTCCAGTTCCTTGAGCAGTTGTGCTGACGGTGCAGCCAGCACAGGTCTCCCCGCAGACCACCTGGGAAACAGGAAATGCTCTGAACCTCTGGATTGACTGAAACACCATTCTTAGGTCCCCCTTGACTTCTCCATTTCCAACTCCTGCTCTGACTTTGGGCCACCTTTAGTCCTAGCAGTTATGATCATGCTCACACACCGAAGTGGTTTGAGGCAAGCTGGAGAGCCCTGCACGCCAGGAGTAAGTGGATCTTCCTCTGGAAAAGCCTGGGTTGTACATTAAGGCTCTCATACAAATTTTCCCACTTTGTTGACATCTGATTTGACAGAAGCTCAGCTTCCTGTGTCCCTGCAGAGCAGAGGTGTGCTCACCAGGCAGCTCCTAGTGGCCTGGAACTGGCACACTCTGCCTCCTCATTCTTCATTGTCACAAATGGGTCAGAAACCTGTGACTTTGAGTCGAGAGCAATACACTCTTTCCAAGAACCATCTCCAGGCTGAAGTTCCCAGAGGCTGCACAGAACTGTGGGGAGACTTGCCCTGTGTGCCTTGCCGAGGGCTCAGGCTGGGTGCTGTGAGTGCACCCTCCCCACACCTCCCTGCCACCCAGAAATGCATCCAGAAACCATAATTGGAGCACTCAGAGGAGCTGGGTTCCTTAATCCCGTGCACATTAAAGGAAATGGAGTGGAGCACAAATCAAGCCAAACATTGGTGTCCTGTGAGGAGTGTGCGAGGGCTGGGGGTGCCGCAGCGCCGGCCCCGGTGTGAGGAGATGGCCCTCTTCCCATTCATGTATTTTGTATTATAAAATGACTGCGGTTGTCATAGCAACATAAAGGGAGCAGATCTCATTACTGAGGCCTGGCCACATTATTTTCTCCAAGGAATTTCTTCTTTTCATTATTTTTCTCCAAAGGTCAGTTATCCTCTGAGGCAGGGTGGGAGATTCTGCGAAAGGTGAAGCATATTCATGGCAGAATTCCCCTGGTGGAATTTACAATCATTTTTCTTTTTTTATACTTGTAGAGAGATTTCTTTTAGTATAACATTTTCTTTTAACCCTTTCTGTGGGAGCCTGGCTGCTCCGCATATCCAACTGGGTTGGTGGCTAAGAAGCTTTGCGCAGGGATTTGCTACAGAAAGCAGAGAATTAATGTCAAATCATGCTTTTATTATCACATAAACCCAGGTGTGTCGAGCTGCTTATAAGCATTTTGCTGACTTTTTGTCTGCTTTTAGCAGCTGCACAAACTGTAGGAACTATTTCAAACTTTGTTCTGAAGCTGTTTCTTCCCTTCTTGCAAAGTCATCATCGTTGGGTGATGTTTCTGGTGGTGAGGGAGCAACTCCAACCATCACATTCATCACTTTGAATATTGGGGTGCTCAGCTCAGCTGGAGATGCAGGAAAATATATGCACAAACAGGGTATACCATTCAATAAATGACTGGACATGGCACTCAGTGCTCTGCTCTAGTTCACAAGGTGGTAAAGATTGGACTTGATGACCCTGAAGGTCTTTTGCAATCTAAATGATTCTGTAAGTCT